ATGTCCTACTTGATATTCTACCAAAATCAGCTCAATAGAAAAAATAAAACTAAATAAACAAATAAAAAAAGCTACTGTGAGTCCAGAATCACCAATAAGTTAAAGTAAAGGAAGTTAGCATCGTTATTGTAGAGTTCTAAAATAATATGCCATAACATTGTATTCCAAAAGTCACAAGAAATTAGAAACGGTCGTTTAAGTTTCATAAAGGAGCCATATACAATCAGAGAATTGATGAATTCCGGTATAAATCAAAGTCTAAATCCTGAATTTTAGACGAAAATTCAGATCAAATTCTGAGATAGTAGAAACGACATTTCAATAATTTAATGAAAAAATAAATATAAAGAGTGAGATTTGGGAGATAATACTAACTAATAATGAGAAGGCGGACTGAGATGAGCTCTCCGAGCTAGAAATAGAAATCGCTGAAGTCAATAAATCAAAAAACAGACCAAAAGCAAGTTAAAATTCGTGTGGCATAGCAGGGAGAAGAGCGTGTTGCTTAGTATTAAACCCTAATGCTCCAGAAGTCCAGATCGAATAGGGAGGCGCTCGGATGAGTCGATGGTTGCTAGGCATAGAATATACCCCAAGAACAAAACCCCAGATGCGTTAACTTAAGAACACGCTTGGAGTTACCTAAATACCCCTACGTGTGAGCGGGAAACTTAAGGAGAGACTTAGTTCACTTAATAAATACTCCCTCCGTTTCTGAAACAAGTTCCACCTTTCCTTTTCGGGCAGATTCAAAATTAAGTTCCACTTTCGAACATTTCCTTATTATCTATATCCAAACAGTGCCAAACAGTGCCAAACAGTGTTCAAACAGTGACAAACAGTGCACTCCACAGTAAAGTCAATTTTATTTTCTTAATATGTGTGAAGTCAAATGTGGAACTTGTTTAGGAATCGGAGGGAGTATATAGATATCAGTTTGGTTTACCGTAGGAAAAAAAATATTTTCTTTTCTTTTTGCACTTGGTAGATTAGGTAGGTTTAAATCTTTCTTTTCTTTTTGTTGTGTACTTCGTAGGTTTAGTGGTAGGTTTTGTATCAACTATTAGTTTTATTAATACTATAAAGTGTACACATGTGTTAGTTATTATGGTTTTAGAAAAGTCAAGTTTGTATTTTGTGTATTTTATACACAAGTTAAAATAGTTATATAAAAATTAATTTTATACTAAAACGTTACTTCTATTATCGGACCATTTTTATCTGATTAGAATGTCACAACTGTTAAATTTTTGTTTGACTCACTTAATAATTAAAATGTTATTTCCGTAACATTTTATCTGACTAATAATTTTTTTTTAATTTTTTTTTTTGGAGTGTCACATTCTACCCTCCTTAAAAGAATGATTCGTCCCCGAAGCATAAGCTAATATCATTATGATAGCACTTTTAAGTATTACATTCTACCTTCCTTAAAGAAAGGTTACGTCCTCGTAACTTAAATATTACCTTGTTCGAATAACTCGGGATAACGGCTTCGCATGTCATCCTCAGTCTCCCAAGTGGCGTTTTCGGCCAAATGGTTTGACCATAAAACTTTCACCATTTTAATTGTCTTTCTTCTTGTCTCACGTGTCTTGCTATCAATAATCTTGACAGGCCTCTCCTCATAAGTCAAAGTTTCATCCAACTCGATCACCTAATAGAGTACATCTTAATTGTAAAGTCTAATTTTTGGGATCTCGAGAGTTCTAAAGTTGAGGTTCTTACCTCCGGATTGATAACATGAGACTCGTCACGGACGTACTTCTTTAACTGAGATATGTGGAAGACGTTGTGTACCTAATATATCGCGCATTAGTATTTTTTTTAGATTGACAATAATGTTAAAGAGTTTGAACGCTTCATACCTTATCTAACTCGGTGGGTAGAGCCAGATGGTAGGCTACACTTCCCACCCTATCCAATATCTCATAAGGTCCGATGAATCGAGGACTCAGCTTGCCTTTCTTCCCAAATCTCATTACTCCCTTTGTCGGGGAGACTCTGAGTAGGACTTTTTCTCCCACCTCGAATTCGGCTACTTTTCTTCTTAGGTCCGCATATGACTTCTGCCTGTCTTGTGTTGCTTTCATCCTTGCTTGAATCATCTTCACTTTCTCCATGGTGTCTTGGAGGTAGTCCGGTCCGAGTACCACTTTATCCACCATATCGTTCCAGCATAATGGGCTTCTACACTTCTGACCGTATAAAGCCTCGTACGGAGCCATCTTGATGCTTGCATGGTAACTGTTGTTGTACGAGAACTCTATCAAGTCTAGGTGTTCATCCCATGAACCTTACAAGTCTAGTATGCAAGCTCTCAGCATATCTTCAACTGTCTGGATAGTTCTCTCTGTCTGTCCGTCCGTCATAGGATGAAATGCAGTGCTTAGCTTTAGTTTGGTCCCCATAGCCGCTTTCAATTCCCTCCAGAATTGTGATAAGAAACGGGAGTCTCGGTCAGAAACAATATCTCGGGGCACACCATGATATTTGACCATGTGTTGGATGTATGCTCTAGCCAGCTTATCCATACTCCAAGTTTCATTCATGTGAATGAATCTCGCAGTTTTGGTAAGTCTATCGACGATCACCCAAATTTTGTCCTTCCCAGACTTTGTTAGGGGTAACCCTCTGACAAAGTCCATCGAGATCGAGTCCCATTTCCACGTTGGTACTTCTAAGGGTTGCATGAGCCCCTTGGGCTTGCATCTTTCAGCCTTGACTTTCTGGCAGTTAAGGCATCTGGCTACAAATTCCGCCACTTCTTTCTTCATTCTCGGCCACCAGAAATTCTTCTTTAAGTCTTTGTATAATTTATCTCCACGTGGGTGTACCGAATAAGGCATGTTGTGTCCTTCTTCCATGATTTGCTTTTTGACGTGCTCACATTTCATTGGAACACACCACCTGCCTTTATAACGAATACTACCGTCATCATGCATCCTGAATGGTCCATTGATTCCGTCTATCATTCCGGACTTGACTCGCTCCAACTTCACGTCTCCAGGTTGTCCCGCTTTGATTTCTTCATAGAGTGATGGGGTAACGGTCATAGAACATAATCGTACCTCATTATCCACCTCCCCGAATTCTCTCACTTCCAAATTTAGCTTTTGGAAGTCTCGCCATAGCTCGTTGGATAGAATCCATGTTGCTCTCCAAGAATGCATTGACTTACAGCTTAGAGCATCTGCCACAACATTAGCTTTTCCTTCATAATATTGAATCTCTAAGTCGTAATCCTTGACAAGTTCTAGCCATCGCCGTTGCCTCATATTGAGCTACTTTTGCGTGAATATGTATTTGAGGCTCTTATGATCAGTGTAAACTTTGCATTGTGCCCCGTACAAGTAATGCCTCCAAAGTTTCAAGGCGAAAACCACCGCAGCTAGCTCCAGATCATGCGTAGGGTAGTTGACTTCATGAGTCTTCAGTTGCCTTGATGCGTAGGCCACCACCTTCCCATTTTGCATCAGCACACAACCTAACCCTTTCAATGAAGCATCGCTGTAAATCTCAAACCCTTCTGTTCCGGATGGTAGGGTCAAGACTGGTGCGGTTGTCAACCTCCACTTCAGCTCCTGGAAAGCTTCTTCACACTCGCTACTCCACAGGAACTTCGTGGTCTTCTTTGTGAGATTGGTTAAAGGCCTTGCTACCTTCGAGAAATCTTTCACAAATCTTCGATAATACCCCGCCAAGCCTAGGAAGCTTCGGACTTCCGTCACAGTGGTGGGTGCAGGCCAATTTATCACTGCTTCAATTTTTGATGGATCAACCGAGACACCTTCTTGGGTGATGATGTGGCCCAAGAATGCTACCTGATCCCTCCAGAAGTCACACTTTGAAAGCTTGGCGTAGAGCTGATTGTCTCTCAAAGTCTGAAGTACGGTTCTGAGATGCTCCTCGTGATCATTCAGTGTCCTTGAATACACCAAAATGTCATCAATGAACACTACCACGAACAAGTCGAGGTAGGGTCGGAACACACGGTTCATTAGGTCCATAAATACCGCAGGCGCATTAATTAAGCCGAACGGCATTACGGTGAACTCATAATGTCCGTACCTCGTTCGAAATGCCGTTTTTGGAATGTCCCTCTCGGCAATCCTTACTTGATGATAACCGGATCTCAAGTCGATCTTGGAAAACGTACTTGCTCCTTTCAGCTGATCAAACAGATCGTCAATGCGCGGAAGTGGATATTTGTTTTTGATAGTTGCTTGATTCAGTTCCCGGTAATCAACACACAGCCTCAAGCTTCCATCTTTCTTCTTGACAAATAACACCAGAGCGCCCCAGGGTGAGACACTCAGTTTGATATAACCCTTTTCCAGCAGATCTTGAAGTTGTTCCTTCAGTTCTTGCATCTCCTTCGGTGCCATTCGATAGGGTGCCTTCGAGATTGGTGCAGTTCCGGGCATCAAATCAATGGAGAACTCCACTTCTCTTTCTGGAGGCATCCCCGGAATCTCTTCAGGAAACACGTCTGGGAATTCATTGACCACGGGAATTTGGTCAATGGTCTTCTCTTCCACCGTTGAGTCTTTGACTACGCACAAGTATGCTTCACATCCCTTCCGAATGTAGTGCTTTATTTGTTGTATGGTTGTCAGCTTTACTCTCGGGGTGGTGGTCACAGCTTTGTAGGATACTCACTTCCCATTTGGGCCCTTCATGACTACCTTCTGCTCGCCACATAGAATTTTTGCTTTGTATCTTTCGAGCCAGTCCATGCCAAGCACCACGTACGTCTATGTCTTCTAGATCGAATTGAATCAAGTCTCCAGGGAGATTGGTGTCACTTATGAGTATGGGTACATTTGAGTACACATTCCCATAAGCCACAACTTTTTCAGCTGTCGTTTTTACATTCAATTCTATTCTAGTAGTGGGTTCTATTCCCAGTTTCTTAACAAAGCTTGAAGATATAAAACTATGAGAAGCACCAGAATCAAAAAGAACATAAGCAGGCATGGAGTTCACTTGAAAGGTACCTGAAACTACGCCACATGCATTAGCTTGAGCTTGATTCATCACGTATATCTTGCCTTGGTTAGGGGTGTTGTTGTTGCCTTGTGGTTTCCCCCATTCCCACGAGCGTTGTGGTTAGGATTCTCTGCGCCTCCTGGCCTATTTCCTCCAAGATTGCCTCTATTGTTGATTTGGCCTTGGTTCTGGGGGACCCTCCCTTTTCCCATGTGACACTCATATGCTTTATGGCCCATCCGGCCACAATCATAACATTTCACTTCATTGCCCGCACAATCGCGTCCAGGATGATTCTTTTGGCATAACTTGCAATGATAATATCGTTCACCCGTCGGACCTTTCCCTTGGAAGTTCCTTCCTCCTTGATTGCGATTGCGATCATCTCCCCGCCATTGTGTTCGCTGTTCAGGGGGATTGGGTCTACCTCTCTTCTCCCTTGGTGGTTGGTCATCGTCGTCACCTCTTTTGTTCCTTTTGTAAGCATCACGTTGAAGTCGTTGAACCCTATAGTGAAGAGCAGCCTTCGTATAGGCTTCGTTCAACGTCTGGCATCCTAGCACACTTACAGCCTTCTGAGTGTCGAAATTCAGGCCATGGATGAATTTTCGGGCCTTGATGTTCTCGTCCGGCACTAGAGCACGTGCGAACCGAGCTAACGCCACAAACTTGGCGTAATAGTCTTGGACCGACATATCTCCTTGTTTGAGATACAAAAACTCCTCATATTTCTCCGCTTTGACATGTTCGGGATAAAATCTTTCCCTCATAGCCTCCTTAAATGCCTCCCAAGAAAGATTTGGCTGCTGACGTAAGGCCGGTCCATCAGTGGCCCACCAGTTGTCAGCCTCCTGATGCAAGTAGTAGGCGGTGATGTCAACTCGTTGTTCCGCCGGGCAGTTAACTGCCTCGAACAACTTATCAAAGGAGCGTATCCAATCTTCAAGGATGAATGGATCCTCCTGACCCTGGTAGCTCGGGGGATTCCGAGCTGCTACCCTCTTAGAAGCGTCATTGCTGGTTTGCTGGTTTTGGAGAAACGTGGTGCTTAACGTTTGAGCAAATTGTTGCATGGTCAGCGCCAGCTCAGCATTAGTTGGTGCTGTGGGGACTTCTCTCCTAGGCGGCATACTCTAAAAGAAAAGTACTTAGGTGCTAAGGTATTGTCTAGTAATCAAGCTACTAAGCACATTAAATCATAACATAATCCAGCATACAAAAGATCACATAGGCGTCAAGAATTTTGTTCAACATATAAAAGCAATACAAAATCTCACAATCCTCACTGCGTCCCTAGAAAGGTCTTTTCCTTAATCCTTTTCGTTTCCTAAATTTGATGAGAATATTTTGAAAAGATCTTCACTTGAAGGTAAGATTCCCACGGTTTTCGTCTAAGATTTCGAACAATGAAGTTTCAGCACAAGGAGAAATTCCCAGTTAGTTGAACGAGCGCAAAGGCTCAATTATGCACCAATCAGCTTAGACTGTTATCGTCTTTGTGACAGAATTTCTCCCTACGACCTATTACTTCGTGTTCTAGTCTCTTCAGAAAACCTAAGGCTCTGATACCAACTTGTGACACCCCCAAATTTCCCACCCAAAATAATACTTGGAAATAAAGATGGACTTTTATTTAATAATTAAACCTTCAAAAGTTTGCAGCGGAAATTAATAAAAACTAAGGAAAAGGGGCATGTCACCGCCACATCCAACCTTTGAATGGTTGAATGCTAAGGCTATCTACCCAAATGTAATTTAACAAAAATCTAGATGTTCGAATCATAAGCAAGTATCAAAGTTTAATCTAGTGAACTACATAGCGATCTTCTAATTTGCGCTCTCAAACATTCCAGCATCAAAATCAACATGATCACCTCCTGTTAAATATGAGCACAAGAAAATAAAAAGAAAACAAACATTAGCAATAATGCTAAGTAAGTTCCACCTAACCTTTTAAAATAATAATAAATAATATATATATAATCCGTACAACCTTTTAACATAAAATATTCTTCAAAACACTTTATAATCATAAGTACATGATACCAATACAAAATCCCAATAACATAACCCGTAATACCATAATAATTCCAGGATATATGAAACACCAAAATTCTCCTCTATTGAATTTCTCCCAAAAATCACTTTGTATCTAGCTTCCTAGTAATTTAGAAGGGTGGTGCTCAACACTTTGGTTGAGCCCGGTGGTTCGTTGTTATGTACGGCCACCTCGGGACTATCGCTGGTACCACAACTGCTCAATGGAAATGGAAACAACTACTTTAAGTGTGTGCACCCCCTAAAGGTATTCCAAGCCCCCCGGGTTAGTAAGTCGATCCGGGTAGCCGGGATGTTGTCTACCAACTACCCCACCTCAAAAACTGAATAATTAGGAGCTACTACTACCACTACTACTCAAAAGTCGGGATGTTTTCTACCGATCGTCAAGTCACCTCAAACCAAAACCAATAACAATTGAGTAGTAGTAGACCTAACCACCCTCCACATTTTAAGGGACGTGGAAAACCAACACCACGGATTTCTCCCATGATGCTCACCCTTTATGAAAATATTTATTTTTCTTTGTTTTCTCAAAATCAATCGAAGTTTATACTTCAAAAATGTCCTTTTCATTAAACTCCCACAAAGATAACAAATTAAATACTATTACAAAACCTTCCAAATCATATACAATAACTCATATCAACAAAACAATATATCAACTAATATCTCAAATACAACCCTTTCATATAATAATATTCACTCAAATTCAGCACACATAAATTCAATTCTCAAATATGCACACAAAAATATTTAAAAGAAATCACGAAGAAAAAGAACTAATTTCGGTTGACATGAAACTTACCTTAAATCCCGATGCTCCTAACTCTCTTCCTCAATTCCGGTCTCTAAATATTTACCTTTTTAATTAAGATGACATAGTTAGTCATTTTTTTCCTATTTTTAATAGTTTATCCGATTTCCAAATTTTTATTTTTATGGCGTTTCATTATTATTCATTAATTAATTAATAACCTTTATTAATCTTGTCACTTTATTTCTTATACAATATTCGAATTATAAAAACAAATAATACGGATCAATATTTTTATTATTAAACTCTCTGAAACATTATGTTAATAATATTAGTTCGTACGAATTATAATTACATGCCAGAAACTTCAATTTCAGTTTATTCTATTCAAAAAAAATCATAAGGTTTTAATTCAACTAGTTATGATAATATTAGATTTAAAATATTGATTAACTCGTTTATTATTTCGAATTACTTGATTAGTCCATTAACCTTATTATGGAATTATCTTAAAGTAATAAATTTATCCAAGTGGTTACTTATCAATTAATCAAGCCAATTTCATCATTAATATTTCTCATCTCTAATAAATTCAATTTTCAGATTATTAATATTATTATAAATATTATTATTATTATTATTACTATGGTTATTATTATTATTATTATTATTATTATTATTATGATAACAGATTTTCGGCCCAGACTATAACTTCTATTGGCCTAGGAGTAAAAACTCAACCCACTCAACAACAGGCCAAAAAAAATAATAAGAAGAAGAAGACTGTTGTCTTCTTCCTCGTGAGGTCGCCGGACGGAAAAATGTAGGGAGGGGCTTACCTCGACGGGTGCGGTCAACGAAGGTGGTAGCGGAATCCTTATGGGTCGGTGATGGACAGTGATGGACTGGCGGCTTCCACAGCTCTCCTTTTTCCTCCGTTCTTTGACGTCAAAACTCAAATCGACGAAACTCCGGCGACTGATATCTCTCTCCTCCGACTATCGTTTTCTACGTTTCTTTCGCCGTTGGATTCCTCTCACAAAGGGGAAGGTTTCTAGAGTATTTTTAAGGCTCGGTTTTTAGTGTAATGCTGTGTTGGATTTTCACCTATATTTATACTACGTGTATATTTATGTATATATGTATATGTTTAATGTTTTGCAGCTTTTGGAAATGAAACAAAAAAACGCAGGCGAAGGGTGCTATTTATAGGTGTAGGTTGAGGGTAGTCAGGTTAGAGTTTGTGTTTAACTTGAACAAATTCTTCCGCAGCTTCGTTCTTATCTCCAACTTTGTACGTAGTTTATCTCCGTAGGAAGCTTATTATCGGCCAGTTGAGATAGTACTGAACGAGTTTTAACTCAATTATGACTCCAAATGTAGCTCGTTTTAATTTAAAAATTCATTCTTATCTATATACTTGTATATATCAGTTTGGTTTACCGTAGGAAAAATAATATTTTCTTTTCTTTTTGCACTTGGTAGATTAGGTAGGTTTAAATCTTTCTTTTCTTTTTGTTGTGTACTTCGTAGGTTTAGTGGTAGGTTTTGTATCAACTATTAGTTTTATTAATACTATAAAGTGTACACATGTGTTAGTTATTATGGTTTTAGAAAAGTCAAGTTTGTATTTTGTGTATTTTATACACAAGTTAAAATAGTTATATAAAAATTAATTTTATACTAAAACGTTACTTCTATTATCGGACCATTTTTATCTGATTAGAGTGTCACAACTGTTAAATTTTTGTTTGACTCACTTAATAATTAAAATGTTATTTCCGTAACATTTTATCTGACTAATAATTTTTTTTTTTGGAGTGTCACAAATGCAAGGAGGCTTTCCAGGAGCTTAAGCAAAGATTAACAACCGCACCTATCTTAACCCTACTATCCGGTACTGAGGGGTTCGAGGTTTACACTGATGCTTGCCTAAAAGGGTTGGGTTGCGTATTGATGCAAAATGGCAAAGTGGTGGCCTACGCATCAAGACAACTAAAGACCCATGAGGTCAACTACCCGACCCATGACTTGGAACTCGCAGCGGTTACCTTCGCCTTAAAACTATGGAGGCACTATCTATATGGGGTACAATGTAAAATTTACACCGATCACAAGAGCCTAAAGTACATCTTTACCCAAAAGGAGCTTAACATGAGACAAAGACGTTGGCTAGAACTCGTCAAAGACTACGAGTTGGAAACTCAATACCATGAAGGGAAAGCAAACGTAGTTGCCGATGCGTTGAGCCGAAAATCAACCCACTCCTACAGAGCAACATGGATACTACCTGATGAGCTATATCGGGACTTCCAAAAACTAGACATGGAGGTACAAAATTTCGGAGAGGTAGATCGGGAAATGCGATTACTCACCGTGACCGTTACCCCATCTATTTTCGACGAAATTAGAGAAGGGCAGCCTGGTGACATAAAGCTGGACAGAATCCGAGCAGGCATGACAAATGGTGTTAATGGACCGTTCGAACTGCACGAAGACAGGAGCATTCGACACAAAGGAAGGTGGTGTGTCCCGATGAAATGTGAAGAACTTAAGAAGAAAATTATGGAGGAAGGGCACAACACGCCTTACTCGGTGCACCCTGGAGGCGATAAACTCTACAAAGACATCAAAAAGAACTTTTGGTGGCCAACGATGAAGAAAGAGGTAGCTGAATTCGTTGCTCGATGCTTGAACTGCTAGAAGGTGAAAGCCGAACGTTGCAAACCCAAGGGACTAGTACAACCTTTGGAGGTGCCAAAATGGAAATGGGATTCTATCTCCATGGACTTTGTTGGGGGCTTACCCCTAACCAAGTCTGGCAAAGACAAGGTTTGGGTTATAGTTGATCGGTTAACAAAGACCGCTCGCTTTATCCCGATGAAAGAGACCTGGAGCATGGAGGAGTTAGCTCGAGCCTACATCAAACACGTAGTTAAATACCATGGAGTTCCACAAGATATTGTTTCTGACCGTGATTCTAGGTTTCTATCTCAATTCTGGAAGGAATTGCAAGCTGCTCTAGGGACGAAACTGAAGCTAAGTACAGCCTTTCACCCAACCACTGCTGGACAAACTGAGCGAACAATCCAAACCCTTGAGGACATGCTGAGAGCATGTACGTTAGATCTACAAGGGTCATGGGATGAGCACTTAGACTTAATAGAGTTTTCATACAACAATAGATACCATGTGAGTATCAAGATAGCCCCGTACGAAGCTTTATATGGTCAAAAGTGTAGAAGTCCATTGTGCTGGAGCGACTTGACAGACAAGGTGGTGCTAGGGCCTGAATACCTACATGACACCATGGAGAAGGTGAAGCTGATTCAAGACAGGATGAAAGCTGCACAAGATCATCAGAAGTCTTATGCAGACTTAGGGAGGAAGCCAGCTGAATTCGAAGTGGGAGAAAAAGTCCTACTCAAAGTCTCCCCGACGAAGGGAGTAATGAGATTCGGAAAGAAGGGAAAGCTAAGCCCGAGGTTCATCGGTCCGTATGATATCCTCGAACGAGTGGGACGATTAGCATACCGTTTAGCTTTACCCATGAAGTTGGCTAAGGTAACACACACCTTAAAACCTCTCGATGGTAAATATAATAGTAAGTGCCTCTCAAATACTAACGTGTGATGTACATAGGTACACAACGTTTTCCATATTTCACAATTGAAGAAGTATATTCGCGACGAATCACATATCCTTAACCCTGAGGTACAAATCGTAACCTCACGATTTTCAAAATCAAATTCAACATGTCTAACATTGACTCAATTAGGTGGTTGAATTGGACGAAACATTGACTTATGAGGAAAGGCCTATCCAGATCCTTGATACCAAAACTCGTGAGACTAGGAGAAAGTCAGTTAAAATGGTAAAGGTATTGTGGTCTAACCACTTGGCCGAAAATGCCACTTGGGAGTCCGAAGATGATATGCGCAGCTGCTATCCAGAGTTATTTGACTAAGGTAATGTTGTGATTACGGGGACGTAACCTGGTAATACCTTTTAAATTATAAGATATTTAACTAGCTTATGCTTCGGCATGAAGCATATTCTAAGGGGGGTAGAATGTGACACTCCTTAAATTTAATAAAAAAAGAATTTAATATTAACTAAGATGTGGTATTCACTTGTGGATAAAAATTTCTTTCGTTTATGTTTCGGGACGAAACATCTTTTAAGGAAGGTAGAATGTGACACCTCGAAAAATTTAATAAAATAAAATAAATAAATTTTATTAGTTAGCAAAATGTTACGAAAGTAATATTTTTGAATCAGATAAAATATTAACATAGGTGACATTTTTATTTCAAAAGTGACAATTCTTGGAGAATACAAATTAAAGATCGGAATTGAATTAAATTTACAATAGAAACTAACAAAAATATACTACCTCTACACAAATAATAACACCGACACACCCATATTCACATGGGAACTATACTTCCCCACGTCTGCATAATAAAATGGGTGGATTAGCTTCACATTTATGGATAAATGGATACCCAACGTATGGAAGTTGGAGTACTTGATCTAATCCAAGATAAAAACAAGCTACCCTACGGTACATATATACATAGATATACACCTATATATATGTATGTATTGAACCTACGAAAACCACAACCCACAAAACCAGAAGCAAGAAAGAAAAGAAAAGAGAGTGAGAAATAGATAGAGGATTAGGGTGGGAGAATAGAGATACGAAGAGTCCAGCTGGAGCTGTTGCCGCCGCACAACACATCATCACACCGGAGTGTCGTCGGACTGTTGGTCTATACGCAGGAGGAGAAGCTGACTGACGCCGGAGAGCTCTATCACCGTCGGAGTTGATGAGACGGAATCCCCTTGGTCTCGTTTACCGTCGGCAAGAGCGGTGTTGCTAATTCCTTCTGTGGGATCAACGCACTGTAATCTTCCTTACTCTGCTGCCGCGTTTTTCTTGTTTCTTTTAGATGACTGGGCTGAGCATTAAAACAACATGGGATTGGGTTATAATAATATTAATAATCCAGTTAGCAGAATCTTAGTAAGACATAATTTGATATTATTCACTTTTATATGAGTTGTCATTTTCTTCGAATAATAATGTAAATTCTAATGCAGAAGAAATTTTTTTAGATTCGTTAACGGGCTGATTAATAATAATGTATGTGGTTTATTTCAATTAGTTTTGTAAGATTAATTAAAATGAACTGGACCGGTTAAATTAAAATATGACTCAACTAAATTAACTTAGTAAATTAAATTAAAGTAAAACCATTATAAGAATAAAGTAAAATGTGATTCATACGGTTTAATAATATTAAAATGGTATATTTATGATTCTGATTGTTTATAAAATTTAAGGTATGATATTTTAGGCTATTTTTATCGGGATTAATTGAAGTAATTATATGTTTCCGGTTTTTTTTTACATAAAATGAATTTATACTGAGTGGATGGAGTAAATTAGGTGAATTAATGACCTGGCTATTTTAAGATGAATAATATATCAGTTATCATAAGTTTTATAGTAGATTAATAAAGAACAGATTTAATTAATGGCAAGTAATGAAATTAAAGTAATTATGAAATGAGAATATTTTAATAATATTTACATTATAATTCGAATGTTTTGATGAAGTTTTATATTAGATAAAGGCAAGGCTGAATTTAGAAATCGTAATAAGGTGGATTAAGAAATACAGTGGTAAAATTAATAAAAGTAATGAATAAAAAACATCGAAAAGTAAAATAAAAAGGGGAAAATCGGGTAAAATTATTACAAATAGAATTAATGACTAATTATATCATCTTGATTAAAAAGGTGATTACTTAGAGACAAGAATAGAGGAAGAAATAGGAGAATCGGATTAGAGGTAAGTTTCTCTGCCAATCAAAAATTGTTTCCTCGTATTATATGCTTATTATGCATTATGTGATTAAGTGTGAATTGTGAATTTTGTGTATGTGAATTTGAGAAGATATTATATATATGGTAGTTGAGAAATATAAATTAAGTACTTTTGGGGTATTAAATATTTTTAAATACCTTCGAGACTTTTTAGAGAAATTGAGAAGTATTTTTGAAGTATTATTTAATTGAAGATAAAATTTACATTTTTATAAGAAGTGAGCATCTCGGGAGTAATCCGAGGTGTTGGTTTTCCACGTCTG